AATGAGAAACCTAGAAGTCCCGTCTGCTCCCGCAGAGTAGATCTCAGAGGAGTACAATGGTGAAGTCACAGCACTTGTAGTCCATTGGTTACTTCCTCCGCCGCCATACCAGAAAGTCCGTACCTCGGTAGAGACAGGGGCTGGAGGAACAGTCTGCAGGAGCCAGAGCATTGCACCCGCCATCCACAGATCACAGCTGTAATGCCTTACTGGCTACAATGCAAACAATAAATGCACATTTTTTTCTTTTTGCATTTTGAGTGCAATTATTGTATTGTAAATGGGCCCCTTAGTGAAATAAAAGGATACAATAAAAAGTTTTCATTGAACAATCGGGATTACACATCCTAGTGACATTTATGTGTCCCAACGAATGAGAATGAATCTGTAATGGGGATGTTAGTAAATATAAAACTACTAGGGGGAGGGGGTCATAAAAGCTGGAGCAGTAGTCCACGGCATCCAATCAGCTCCTCTGTTTCATTTCCAAATCTCAAAGTGAAGAGAAAAGCTGAATGGTTGCTATGGGTAACTGCTCCAGAACGAATCCCCCTCCCAATATGCCTGATCATAAATAAGCTCAGAGCAGAACTGACAAGGACCCAAAATAAGTGCACGATTCAGGAAAATATTCCCATGGCTCAGTTACCTAAAAACTAGAAGCAGAATAATGAAATGTAACAGCTCTGGAGGAGGCCAGCCAGCAGGAGACCCCCGGCTGATAACGTCATTGTACACCACCTGCATGCAGGACACAACCTCCTAATGGGAAGACCCGGGTCAGCACCCCGGAGGTGGAAGGGAGCGTTCATCTCGCTTAAGTCTTCCACCCCATTACTCCATACTGGAGCAGCTCTCACCTGCAGCCCTCAGCTCCCAGAACCGGAACCGGAAATTGCGAGCCAAAACGAGCAGAGGGCGAGGCTGGGTTATCAGCAGTCACACAGACACCAGTGACTTGGCTAAAATGCAATGCGCACTATGCTCAGCAGATGGCAGCAGACAGACGACTGCAATGAACCGGCAACATGGAGATACAACGGCAGGTGGCAGCAGAGAGACAATGGCGTCATACGGAGGACATACATAACCGCGATTAACACTATGGCCAGCAGGTGACGACAGAGAGATAATGGCGGCACAAGGAGCCCTAAAGAAATACATAACTGCGATATACACTCTGGCCAGCAGGTGGCGGCGTCATACGGAGCACTGAGGAATTACATAACTGCGATATACACTATGGCCAGCTGGGGGCACTAGACTGACAGCAGTTTTATGCAATGTACAGGCAGCAATACAGCTATGACTGCAATATACACTATAGCCAGAAGATGGCACTAGAGAGTAACAGTAATACTGATGGGAGCGCGGAGATTACTGCAATACACACTATAACCGGCAGATGGCAGCAGAAATCCAGCACACCACATTGATGTATGGTGAGAAGAATTTCCTCCCTAGTCTATGGCAATGGACACAAAACTCTTAACACAGACATAAATGAGAAGGATCAAAGTCTGCTGCACTCACCAAGGAAAGTATTGGATGTCCTCATTGGAACAAATGTGTACAATATTTGCCACATGAGCTGACAACAGTATACCAGTACCAGTATAACAGTAACATTGATAGGAAGCTCTGTATAATGCTGTTAGTGCCAGTAAAGAAACATTGGAGGGAAATAATAAAAAGTGTCTGAGATAAACTTTTGTTTTACCTGAAGAGCAGCCGATCAGCTTTTGCATTTTTATTTGCTAAGCTGTGTGGGGGAAAAAATTAAAGATTGAAGTTGATTGGTTCCTGTGGTCCGATATGCACCTGAGCGTACCTTCTTTACTAATACAAAGTATGGTAATACAGAGACCACTACAGTATGCAATAAAAAAGCGTGTGGGAAGTAACAGTTTTATTTGTGTGGTTCATGGAGGCCAATAAATCCTGTCATCAAACTGCAGAATATTTGTATTGTTTGTATTTGGATGTACAAAGTGCACCCATATAGACACTATATTGCCAAAAGTATTGGGACACCCCTCCAAATCATTTGATTCCGGTGTTCCAATCACCTCCACGGCCACAGGTGTATAAAGTAAAGCACCTAGTCATGCAGACTGCTTCTACAAACATTTGTGAAAGAATGGGTCGCTCTCAGGAGCTCAGTGACTACAAGCGTGGTACCGGGATAGGTTGCCACCTGTGCAATAAGTCCATCCGTGACATTTCCTTGCTGCTAAATATTCCACGGTCACCTGTTAGTGGTATTATAACAACGTGGAAGCAACTGGGAACAACAGCAACTCAGCCACAAAGTGGTAGGCCACGTAAAATGACAGAGCGGGGTCAGCGCATGCTGAAGCGCACAGTGCGCAGAAGTCACCAACTGTCTGCAGAGTCAATAGCTACAGACCTCCAAACTTTGTGTGGCCTTCAGATTGGCACAACAACAATGTGTAGAGAGCTTCATGGAATGTGTTTCCATGGCCTAGCAGCTGCATCCAAGCCTTACATCACCAAGTGCAATGCAAAGCGTCGGTTGCAGTGGTGTAAAGGACGCCGCCACTGGACCCTAGAGAAGTGGAGACGTGTTTTCGGGAATGACGAATCACGCTTCTCTGTCTGGCAATCTGATGGACGTGTCTGGGTTTGGCCGTTGCCAGGAGAACAGTACTTGCCTGACTGCATTGTGCCGAGTGTAAAGTTTGGTGGAGGGGGGGTTATGGTGTGGGTTGTTTTTCAGGGGTTGGGCTTAGTCCCTTAGTTCCAGTGAAGGGAACTTTTAAGGCATCAACATACCAAGACATTTTGAACAATTTCATGCTCCCAACTTCGCGGGAAATGTTTGGGGATGGCCCCTTCCTGTTCCAACATGACTGCGCACCAGTGCACAAAGCAAGGTCCATAAAGACATGGATGAGCGAGTTTGGGGTGGAGGAACTTGACTGGCCCGCACAGAGTCCTGACCGCAACCCGATAGAACACCTTTGGGATGAATTAGAGTGGAGACTGCGAGCCCGGCCTTCTCCTCCAACATCAGTACCTGACCTCACAAATGCGCTTCTGGAAGAATGGTCAAACATTCCCATAGACACACTCCTAAACCTTGTGGACGCCTTCCCAGAAGGGTTGAAGCTGTTATAGCTGCAAAGGGCGGGCCAACTCAATATTGAACCCTACGGACTAGAACTGGAATGCCATTAAAGTTCATGTGCGTGTAAAGGCCGGCATCCCAATACTTTTGGCAATATAATGTATGTATACATGATCTAAAATTTAAAGCTTATAGTGAACTAAACTTTCTCATTTTAGTTTTAGATACAGTAGAGTATGGTTAAAAGCTCTGCCATGGTTTTTTTTGCCATGTGTTCAATTATGCAGATTTCCCTTCACTTCCTGTCCTGTAGACAAAACAGGAAGTGGGAGGAAATATCTCCAAAGAGAATTAAATGCTCTCTTATTTTTCACCAAAACAAGTGTCCCCATGGGAAAATTTTCCCTCTGTTTCTTTTCTTGTGACAACTCCAAATGTTGGATTTTATCTCACTTTCAGTCCTTGCGACTAGTGACGAGGCTGGGCTTGGTGCGAGCCTAGATCTCCTAAATTTGCCCAAGCTTTCTGAAAACTGTGACCATCACTCCCTTCTCCTCCCGACCCGACAGTCTCAGTGGTTGTGGCAGGAGCGTTCCCCACCCCTTTGTGACACATAGCTGCGGGGTGGGGAGTCTCCCCAGCAGAAACACAGGCAGCAATAAAAACCTGACAGGGATGTGAACAGTTCCTCAATCTGTACAAACCAAATAAAGTTTTGGTTTTACTTACTAAACCCCTTCCTGACCGATGACGGGGTTATTTTGTCACAATCTTTTAGTTCACTAAAGACTGGTGACGGAATAATCCCATCATGCGGTAAAATGAGCACTGGTCCATGGAGTGACCAACGCTCTTTGAGTTCGTGCTGTTGCTGGGTCCCTCAGTGTCCGAGGCAGACCCTCAACAGCAAATTAGGGGGTCCCAGCACTGTGATCACTGCGATAGCCAATCACAGCCATCACAGCGCTGTTACAGCCACTGAGCCGGCTTGCAGCTCAGTGGCTGTGTTGTGTTGTGGAGCTGCAAGCCGGATCAGTGTCTTACAAAAGTGATACAAAGTATCCCTGAGGAGAATACAGTGTCTCCTCAGAATACTAACAGGTCTATTTACAAAAGGGTGAAGGGTTTGGAGAAGGCAGGAGAAGTGAACAATCTAGGACAACATCGCTGAACTGGAAAGTGAGCTGAATTGGAGAATTTTTCCAAATTAGCTAATCTGGCCTAGACTGTTCACTTCTCCTGCCTTCTCCAAACTCTTCACCCTCTCGTGAATAACCCTGTAAGTTTCAAAGCCCCTGTTTAAAAATTACCATTTAGTGCCCCTTTGTTAAAAAAAAGTTTTAAACAGCTTTTTATTGTTTAAAAAAAAAATAAAAAAGGAAAAAACTTAACTAAATTATTAAAATAATTTAAAAAATATGTTTAATAAAAAAGATAATAAAATATAGTGCAGAGGAGCCTATTAAAGATAGGAGACAAACATATCACATTCTCCCATTGTTCCACACTAAAATTGTATTTCACATCTTGCATTTTATGACCTCTGACTCCCAAAATAAACTAAAATCCCAAACATATGATATACCCTATAAATCAGGACAAATAAAAGCATTTATTATGAATTACTTTCTGTTAGCTACTTGTGGATGTGTAATTATGTACACATTATTATTGCCAAAACTCTGAAAAATTTGGGGTTTTTTTTCAATTGTTTTGTATTTTTTTGTAAAAAAATAAGATTTTACATATGCAGATGTCACATCAAATTAAAGCCCATTTTGTCCTTTAAAAAACGGTATATAATATGTGTAGGTGCAATGAATGCGGAAGATGGAAATTATGGTTAAACAAACACATGGAGATGGCTTCCCGGCCAATCGGAAGCCGGGCAGCGTGTAATGAATCTCTGCCCGGCTTCCTATTACCGGAATCTCAAGTATCGGGCTAGGCATCGGAGCATTTGGACGAGTACGAGTACTTGCCCAAATACTCGGCATCGGCACGGATACTGATACTACTATCTGTGCACTCCTAGTTTTTACCCCACCGAAAACCTCTGTGCATGTCAAAATCAACATACAAAAGGGTTTTTGTTCCACAAATCCACAACATCAATTGTGTCTATATGTATGAATACCCAGAGACAATTTTAAACTGGTGCTTTGTATGTGACAATTAATCCATACAAAAAAAATAATGGTTATCACACTATATAGAATATTTCAAACGTGAAAACATTCACTTTCCTTGCAAAAATGTGGGAAAACGTTCCTTTAGGCCCCTTTTACGCAGCAATCCGATCAGCTCCTGTCAGTTTTTCAGGTTGACCTGATCAGAAGTTCAATGTTAGTCTATGGGCGGGTGGAATGTAAACCGACCCGTGTCCATTTATATGTGATTACCTCTGAGTCTGTCTAGGTCTGAAAACAAAATGGAACAGATTTCTGTTTTGGCGGACCTAAACGGGACGAATTAGAAGTAAGCAAATGTGAACGGACACATGTCAGCTTACATCTGACTGCCCATAGACCTAACATGGGTCTATTTAGCTCAGTTTTATCCACGAGATGGAGGAAAAAACTGAACTGACATGTCACTTTTCCGTTCACACACTGCTCCGATCAGACGGGGATCTGTTCATGGATCTGTTCGCGGATCCCATGCTGATCAGAACAGATGCCGCCTGTGTGAAAGGGGCCTTATAGTACATTCTCCTCACAGTATTTTCTCCACCGTAGATCAGAGTGTGAGGCGACTGAGGCTCTTGCCTCGGGCGCACGGGGGGCGCAGCCTGCTGCTCTCCCCCATCTGTATGCAGCAGGGATCCAAGGGGAGTGAAGGAAGCGCTGCAGCCGTGCGGGGGGTAGGAGGGAGCCACTATCACAG